TGACTACTTTAATGAAACCTACTGTTTTTCTTTTGGATTAATGCGCTTTAGACGGACTTTATTCAATTGTTGGATTTTAACAGGAAGGACTACGAACCTGTTTTTGGCCGCCGCGGCTCTGTCTCGTTGCCTCCGGTTTTTAAACCAGTTTCCGCCTTGTGTAGGAGTGAGTCCAGTGGCTTGAGCCAGTTCCCTTTTCTTGCTGGGGTTTGGATATGGGTCCTGAAGGTACCACTCCCTCAGCAGGCTCCGTGTCCGCTCTTTGAAACAGTGCGTCTTCTGCTCGCCGTCCCAGATGGTCCGAGGCAGCGGAAACTTCTTCCGCACACGGTACTTATCGACCGGTCCGAGAGGACGACCGCGCAGCTTCTCGGCCTCCTGGTAGTGCGCTTCCAGCCACATGGCTTGCAGTTTTCCGTGCGAGTCCTTGGTGAACTTGTGGTTCTCCAGGATGTGGTAGAGGTCTCTGAAATTACCCGTGTGGAACGCCACCACGGCCCGGGCGCGCAGGATGGATTCGTGCTTGTTGATCGCCTCGCACGCTCCCGGAGCCACAGGCAGGGACCAGAGGAAGCGGCCCAGCCGTTCGATGTCCCCGGTTTCCTCCAGCGTCTCGCAGACGCTCGCCACCTGCTCCGGGGAGAAGTTGAGGGTCGGTAGCTGAAACATGGACAAGTCTTCTGGAGACCTGGTGGTGGGAGCGCTGTTCGCCAGGAGCAGAGGGCGATCAGCGAAGTTTGGCAGGAAGAAATGGGAGGGATAAAGCTCTAAAGGGGATCTGAAAACCATGGAAATGACCTGAGAGAGAAAGAAAATTATCGAGAAAAAGGAAAAACCGAAAAAATACGGCAAGTAAAAAAGATTGAATGATTCAATGGCTATCGCCTAATGACACCAGCCTCATAATATCTCCCCCCTAAATCCGCCGTTGAGTGTAGCATTGAAACATTTTGTTTCCCTTTTCTATTGGTCTTCTTGGTGTCCGTGTAGCGTTGTCATGGCAGCCCTGCCAATCACTGTCAAGCGTGCCAATCATTAGCCAGTACGTAGCACGAGGCTTTCACCACTTGTGCAGCACGCACGGGGGGGTTATCAGAGTCTCCGATCTCCACAGCAACCCTCCCACCGCACCGCGCGCATCAGGCACAAGCCAATGCTCGCCTATCTGCTGAATGGAATGAGCAATTAGAGGGTGGAATATTATTGCGATCTTAACGAGGCTCGTTAAAGCTAAAGAAGATATGTAGACTGGAGATGCTTAGCAGAGACGGGAAGGGAGGGAGGGAGGGAGGCAGAGGGAGCTTTAAATGGTGACAAATGGACAACCAATGACTGCAACTCGGAATGCACGTTTTACATAGAAGCGAGTCAATTTCCACATTATTTTTCTAGAGCTTTTTCTGTTGTAGCTATTTTTAAAATCGTTTTAACCAGTTCATTTTTTTCTGCGAGGTTAAAGAAGACGTTAGGGTCTTCTACTTTTTCCTTTTCTTATGAGCTACGCTATCACTTCCTTTTGCCTATTTTCTAAACGATTAAATTATGACACTTGATCCTACAACTAATCTTTTGCCTTTTGCCCTGGATCTACTGGTGATTTTTAAAATTGCATATGCGCAATTTTATGACATGATCCGAGCATGAATTCACTCGGGCTCGCTGCTGTGTTGTGTGGGTGTTGCTCTGGGTGCAGGGATGCAGTGTGCAGCTCCCCCTCCTGCTGTCCCCGGCCTTGCTTCTGGGACGCAGGACGCAGCCCTGGCCCCCTGCCCACTGCCTCCTCTCGACCTCTCCAACCAACAAAATGTATTGTTTCAAATGAATATCGATGCGCAGCCTTGTGTTGGTTAAACAAAGATCACGGCGTTTCAGTTCGAAAACTAATTTGGCAGTGGCATCGCCCTTTTAATGCCACCACTTTATCACGGGTTTCTGATAGCCCAGCCCTCTAATTAATACAATCAGTACTGGAATTACAATCAAATGGCAACATAAAAGCAGTTTTCATCCTGTATATCTGATGTGGAGGCAAGGACATGACCAGTGTACACATGCGGTCACAGGATTCGACTGCAGTGGCAGCCACGGCGGTGTGGTTTTCATGTTTATTGCTCAAACAGCTCCATATTTATACAGGGCTTATAGGGTGTTAAAATAGTGCGAGTTCACTCTAATACGAACAGTGCTCACATTGTGAAAGGGCCGTGGTGTAGCATCTAGACTCCGCTTAATCCGCCCTCAATAAAGCTGACATAATGATCCTAAGCCTCCTTTCTATAAAATCATTCAGGAATTCTAAACTTTTCCTTCCCTTTCTCAGATTTGCACATTCTCCGGGGCTGTCCACATAGACCACCGACTTCAAGCTTGGAGGGACAGTGAGTAGAACAGCTTCACATGCATGTTGTTCACCATTTAATCATTTAACCACTTTAAGAGCCGCGGGTGCGAGCGTGCAATCAGGCATATTTGTGCAGTTTTAGTCATAGATGTTTTGGGCAAATGGGGGTACTTTAATCCGCCAGTGTAGGCGCTTGCGCACGTGTTGTGCAAGTGTTTGTGTCTGCGTGTGTGATACGGAGCAGGGGTTGTGATGATCTTGTTGCAGGGCCAGGTGTTTGGTCTGTGCGTGTCTTTGGGGATTGTGTGCGCGCGTGTTTGTGTGATGGGGTGGGCTGGTATATGGGATCAAACCTGCCCACTGCGCCGCTACACTAACTAATTCCAAGTGGCAGTTGAATTGGTCCCGTTGGAAAGTTCTGTGGACTGGAAGTAAACGCTGGTATTTTCATGCTGGTGTTTAAAACTAACCTCCTAAACCCCCCCTCCCCC